AGGGCTGTATATATGTATATTTTTTTTGTTACACAAATGTTTAGATGATTAAAAATATTGTATATATACATATATATATTGAATGAAGACATTCTGTCATTTATGTATTTTATTTTGATTTTTGATCGGACACGATAACTTAATATTTTACGCTTCGTTAAACTGTATCACTGTAAAGGAGATAATAATGATGGCAACCGATAAAAAGAAAAAAGAAAGCAGAATCTCGAGATTAAAGTCACATCAGCAGCAAATCATATACAAATACATTAGTATGTCATGGCATGGCATGGCATGAGGTGAACAATCAGATTGAACAATCAGGCATTAATGCAGGTAATAAAGGACATCTTAAATCTGTGGCAAATGTATGTGCAAAGCGAACGGCAAAGAATTTCATATTTTTACATTGTTAACAAGAAAGAAAAAAAACAACAACTCTTGAAGACACAGGATACCTGTGGTCTGGCAACATACGATTCATCGTATATTTCGATTTAACAAACTGTTTAAAAGTTTATCTGTCATTCAAGAATCTCGGAATATGGACGGATACGAATAATATTATGAGTAAAAAAAAATTAAATTTTCGATATTTAAATAACTTCTCTACGTATTTATGTAATTATTTATTGAATTCCTTATCCATTCCTTAAGCCTTTGAGATTCTTTGTCATGTTGCTTTCATTTCTTTGCTGTAACAAGTAGAAGCTTTTAACATTGCTTGGCATATTATTTTGATCCTAGCAAGAAATTCTTTTAGCTGTCAAATACTCGATGTTAACTAAATGTACAGATTTGCGTTTTGCTTGCATTATTGGTCGAATAGTAATCAACTTGTTGAAACAAGTTCTTTATCACTACATATACCTAAAAAGTGTAAAACAATTTTTTAATCTTTTTTTTTTTTTTAAATAAAATGACGGCACAGCAGCTCTCGGACTACACAATTCTCTTATTTTTTTTTTGTGGCATACCCTTGGCCAAAAGTTTCTATCCATAATAAAATAAAATCCTTGATATAATACATAATATCTAATGAGTTTTAAAAAATTTTTATTTGAATAAATAATTTGTTTTTTAAAAAAAAACATTGTTTTTTTAAAAGTTAAACATTCGTACTTTCCCTGAATCGTAGATATATGACTAAAGGCAAGAGAGCTAGAAGAGTGTTAAAATTTTAATATGTAAGAAATTCAAGTTTTTTGCAAATTTCTCAAATTTTTAACTATAATAATAAAAAAAAAAAATAATAATAATTTTGGCGAAAATTCAAATTCCATTTTTTGAATGATTGCGATAAGAAAAATATGTATTTAAAAAAAAAATATTCTCTTGTTTAATTATTACTCTTTAATCCATTGTGAGGATCATTTTATCCCATTTTTATTAGTCTTATTTTGTATTAGAAGTCTTCTTCAAGGTGGTATAGCTTTGCGCAGCGCAACAACGAATTAATACACTTGGGCTCGCTGCACTCTATTCTCTAAGACTTTTTCTTTGACATCTGTTCACAAAAAAAGGAAGAATAATCTGCCAGAAACATTGCTTATATTAGTAGGTGCTTGGATGTATAATATTTGATCAGCGACATCTATTGATGAAAATAATAAATTAATGCGAAATATCAGTGTGCGCAACGGTTAATTTCGATAATTTTGAACTATCTCTACATAAAACGAACAAATTTCCCATTTAGTCTCATTGAGTGATAAGAACGCTAATCATGGAACACTTAAAAATACAATTTTTGACATTCGTTCATTTTGTTGTTTGATTCGAAGAAATCTGCTGCCGAAGGCCATCAAAAACTTTTAGATGGTTTGTGGTGATGCTGCTCCATCAAATCTCAATTGTCGGTTTCGGGTTCAACGGTTTAAAACTGACGACACAAATTAAATGAAACTGGCGTTGATCAGGATACACTGTTGCAGTTCGAATGGGAAGCTCTGTCACAATTGGCTTACTCACTAGGCATAAGGCCTCCTGACTGCCACTTGTATTGATCGGTGCGGCATGGTTTGGCCGGCACGCGGATGCGGCACAGTGGAGGAAGTGCGAAAATGTGTCGGTGGTTGGATCGGCGCCAATATAAACCAATATAAGTTCTTTCGACGTAATATCATCATTTTCCACGACAAATGCCTTTTTCAAGTGAAAAAGTGATCAAGATTTTTGCAAGCACCTAATATATATATGTTCTTGATCAGTGTGAAATTCGGGATTGACTAAGTCATAACTGTCCGTCTGCGTGGTGTTCGTAGCTGGCACTCCTGGTCGAAACATTGTACTCTTTATGTGCAAAAAATGAGAAAAAATCGGTCATGCCCACACAAAGTTACAAGTGATTAAATTTTATTTCTTTTCACTTGTTTGAGATTCTATGCCCATTAATAATAGGCTAAACAAGACAGAATGTTAAAAATTATTTTGTACATTCCTCAAACGAAGATATATTATCTGCCTAAAAATGAGTTAATTGTAAAATGACTACGTTAGCCACGTGGTGGCTTAATTTTTTCTTAATAACACAAGCGATATGGGTAGCAAATAAAAAGACTTGAAGAGTCGAATGCAAGAAGTTAAGTGTGCTAGTTCCTAATTATATGTCTCGGACGTCACGCCGTAGTAAACTAATTGTTTTTTGATATTTGAGGAGGTTATTAAGCTTACCTGATCTCTCCTCTGGAGAGATCCTTACCTCAAGGATCTCTGCAGTAAACAGCATAACTAGTCTAAATTTGAATTAAAGAAAAAAAAAAAAAAAATCCCCCACTCTACATTCCTATTCCTAGCGAGACATATAGACTTTCTTGAAAGTATTGATTTTTATGTATTTCCGCGAATGTTTAAGTGAAGAAATGTAATTGTCGACCCAAACAAAAAAAAAAAAAAAAAAAAAAACACCACTTTTTTAATAATAACAAACAATGCTTCAATTAACTTAGGAAATGTTGTTTTGCGGATAAATGATATCAAGATAAAAAATTCGAATGCAAAAATTGAAAATGGCGATTTCAAAAACTGTGTATCGCGATAAACGAGCTTAAACGAAAGTTTTTCAATATTACAATAAATTGTTTATTAATTTTTTCTATTAGTCTGCGATTGTAGGGCCATATCCATGTTCAAATATTCCTAATCGTTTCGCCCTTCTCGAAAATTTGATGTTACAATCTGACTGTTTTGCCGCATCTGTCAAATATCTTGCAGTTTTCTTGATATGGTTAGCGTCGACTTTAACCCACAAACTGTATCATTGGTTATCAATATCCATTTTCAAAACTAGTTATTATATAAAATTGCAAACAGCAATGTCAGTGACAATGTCCATGACGTTTGGCGTACGGAGATTCATGAAATTTCCAAAAAAAAAGTTTCTACGGACTATGTATTTTAGAAGCTTTACAGCATCTATTAAGCAAAGACTGCAATGAGATAGAAGGATGACCTATCAGGTTTATTGCATAATAGAAGTTGTAATGTAAAATTGCAACTAATTTTTATTTAATTTAACGTTAGGATAAAGCATATGGAACCGTTAGCATAATGGGATATTGTTTCCATTGTGGGATACTAGTCTTTGTTACTTGCACTTTATATGTTATATTATAATATTTACAATATTTGCTTATTATCCTTGAAAAAGCAGATTGCAAATAAAAATGTAGTTTAAAAACGTAGAAAAGATAAAACTTTCAGAAAAGTTAAAAAACTTGAAGAAAAGTTTTTTTTTTTTTTTTCTTTTTTTTTTTTTAAGGAGATAGTAGAAGCACCCACTTAGAATAAGTGAATTGCTATCTAACAAAAGAAGAGAAAGAATATCCTTCTCTGCAGTCATTTCATTTCGTTTATTCTTTTCAATAAGTGAACGTCTCGAGTAAGAGATGAGCAGAGTTTTGGCTTAGTTTGCATAGGAAAGTTTAAAATTTCTTAAAGAAATATAATGGCACTGAAATGTTTTCTATGCTCATTGCTTAAGTATGTGATGTACTCAAATTCAAGATATCCAAAGCTTCAAGCACAATTAAAGTAAGCTAAACAACGGTTTATTCGAATAAATGTGTTCACCTTATTTGCATAATTGTGCGGCAAGTTGCCAGTAAACGCTTATGTCAAGCTGGAAAGCGATAAAGTGGTTGCCCACGTTATTGCCTGAAGGGCGAGAAAACGAAAATACCGACAACGCTTATTTGACTTTGAGCAGATTTGACGTCGAATGGAACAGTGCGTTGACTAACGAATCGGCTAACTATTGATGAGACTTGGACTTGCTAAAAAAAAAAAAAAAACTTGTCCATTTCTCAGTTTCGTGTCAGCTCTTTATACTCTTTTTACCAGTGATGATCACAAGCTTTGATATTCTGTCTATTATGAGAACAAGAGAAAATCCTCAATATACCGATCAGGCGCAGGCGCTACTTTTTCAGTGTTGGAAAATCTCTTGCCATACATGAGATGTTTTTTCAGGTTAGGAAAGGGAAAACAATCTGTAAACGGGCTATATATACCGAATGGGAATTGCTTGCCTAAGTGATTCAAATCTTAAATTTTTAGTTTTGGCCACCGCCAGAAAAGAGAATCTCTCTTAGCATTTTGATAAATTTCTTGTAAATTCACTAAAAATGTCCACAGCTGATGGCTGTACAAGAAACATTACTAAACAGCCGATTGTCCTCAAACTGTGTTTTTTCATCTTTATTAGCAGAAGTTTCTATACGTAACGGGGGTTGAGAAAAAAAAAAAAAATTAAAAATTAATTAACATTAAGTGATATATCTGGTGCATAGTATAATAGGTTTTTTAGGGAGGGTCCTTTGATGTATATTTAGTACCATATATGAAGTCTAGCTATATGTAGTAATAGAAGTCATATGAATTTCTTAGGGGGAAGTGAATAGTTTTCATAAAATCTTTTCGATAATAATTAAAACATCATGCATGTACTTTCTGATTGCTAACGGTTTAGTTATAACTTTATTACACGTTTTATTTTGCAGACTTAACAAACTGTGGTGTGCAGGGACCACTTGACGATTATAGGGTATTGGATGATATATCAACTACTACAAGTACATTAGCTACATATCCTCATCCTAAATGGCTGGAACCGTACTTCGATCCATCAACACCGCGTAATGTTACCGCCCTGATGGGTAAATCAGCATATCTTAGTTGCCGTGTTCGCAACTTAGGCAATAAAACGGTAAGTGACGTTGAAAACGATGAGCAGAAATGCTTACCTGTCAGGATATGCTTTCCCGTGATATTTAATATTGATTGATTTTCAAATGATTTATTTTTTAGAAATTAAGGTCCGTAAGCGTTCTTCGTTTTTTTTCACTTTTTCTATGGCACGAGTTTTAATTACAATTTGTATTAATTTTGTGAAGTCATTCTAACTTTTCCCCGTTAAAAAAGTATTTCTTACACATTATGTTATCAAAAATGCATATGCAGATAAGTTCAAATGTAACTCTGTGTGTGTGCGCCTGTGATGATGTATGTATTATGTATGCGCACCATTATCACCGCAATCTGTTAAGAGAAAGAGAGAATGGATAATAAATTCCTTAACACGTAACGTAACCACGTTGTTCATTGTAAAATGCTTAAGGGAAACCGTGTGGTAAGGGAGATGTAAGAAAATGGATAGAGAAAGAGAAAGAGAGACGGGCTGGGAATTGTCCCAAAATACAGCTACAATAACGACGACATGTCATTGCAATTGAGTTAACGGAAGTAAAAGAAAACACTTTCCCGAGGGTTTCAAGATATATACAGAAGTTAAAATCCTGGCATAAATTAATATATGCATGTGCATACGAATATTCGCAAGTAGATATTTGCATATATGTCTACATATATATATATATATATATATGCATATACATATATACATAGTGTGTGCGTGTGTGTGTGTGTGTGTGTGTGTCCGTGCTATTAGTTTTTATACTTATATGCTTTACACTAACGATATTCGCAATTTATCGTAGTTGATGGCACAATTATATTCATGCTTATATACGCATACATACATAACTATCACCGTATATATAAACATATGTATTATACATACAACATAGATAGAGTAAGGCTATGTGCATTAGCATGTGTAATCATTATGCGAAACAAACAACTTTCACGGCTTGTCTTATGTTTTTTCTAATATATGAGCAAAGTAACACATGTGTGTTTCGATATGTTTATTTTTTGTTTGTTACCATAAGCAAATGTTTATTTTTAACATTATCATTATATTGTAAAAGAAGAAACCCGAGGGGCTTAATTAGTTTGAAGCTTACGAAATTTTACCAGAGCGCTGGAAGGATACACATCTCACATAAGTTCATTTGTTTTGCAATAACTTTTGCACTCATCACTCAAAGATACGGTTACATTTTTTTATTATTACGTTTGTAACACATAAACGAAAACGTCTCACTTCGTCCAAAATATATATTGCGGCCGTCCGCAATCAATTCACAAATATTGAGATAAAGGTCTCATTTATTCTAATCAGAAATATTTCGTTCGATTAGGTTTGATAAAAAGTACAATCCGTTGACTTATGCATGCATAATGTAATAGTAAGCACAATAATTTTTCCCGAAATATTCACATTTTTGGTGAGTAAAAAAAAAAAAAAAAAACATATCAGAAATTTACTTTTATAGCTGTATGTACGTATAATAGTAATGTGTTTGTATACAATATGTAGGAAGAGCTTAAGAGCTATTTTCCGCATCATTAAAAGCTATAATGCTTTAAATTTAAAGCAAATTATTATTATTTTTATTATTATTACATAAGTGTAACCTTGTCTTGCAACTTTATGCGTATTAGTATAGTGGAATGCGCACTTAAGTAACATTTAATTTCTTATTCATGAAACTTTTCTATATCTTATACCATTTCATACCTTTCTGACATACGCCTGAATAAATATCCTTCTGCTAAGAGCGATTATTCGTTCGTATAAGGTCACGCTCAAGATTTCAATTTCAATGATTGCAACGAGACTAAATAAAATAGGGAAACCGTTGAAAATGCATAGGTAAAGTCAGTATTTACCCAAAGGTCTCTATAAAAATTACTAATAAATATTATATTCAAGTAGATTTATTTTTTATTTTTTATTAGCTAATAACAGTTACGATTCATATAACTTTTAATACATGTACTAAAAAGAAATGAATACTGAAACAAGTAAAGAACTTATTTCGGGCTATGGACGAGTCTTCTATATCTACTAGAAGGAAAAGAATAAACGAAATTTAGATACCGTACATTATTAGGTAAGTGAGGCTGATTTTTTCCATTCTTATACAAATATTGTAGGATTGTCAATATGTTGTCAACATGTGCAGGCAACTTCTATCGCTACATCTATTTTAGGGTATAAGAAAAAAATCCAAGTTTTTTGCGTTTGAGAATAATCGACTCAGATTATATTACAGTATACTTGACCGATTCGACATATTTCCAATATGAATTTCAATATATCTGCTAAAATTGAGGTCGATAGATTTATTATTGCGACAGTTTACCACACATGTTACATAGGCTGACCGACAAACATATGATTACAACGACAGACAGACATTTTTGAATCGGTTTAAAATTATCATGAATATATACTTTTTATAGGATTTGTTGTCCTTTTGAGTGTCACAAAAGTTTTAGTAAAATGATGAATGTATTCCCATCCTTCAGTGATAGATATAACAAGGAATCTTTTAACGTTATGGTCGGGCAAGGGCGACAAGTATATAACCTAGGCCAGTTGGCTTAATACAATTCTTCACCACTCCTCGTCGTAGAATATTTACAAATCATATCTGATTGACATAAAAAAAAATTACCTTTAATGGCAATCCTTATATGAAGGGCAGAACAAGACCTGGAGCATTCAAGCTTATCTTCGAAAATATTTGTATTAAGTCAACATTTTGTACTACCTTTTAATCTAAAATGGCAAAAGTTAGATTTTGCAATTATATAATAGCTCAATTTTTTCGAAAAACATTTTGCATTGGAGGATGACCATAAAGTAACCTCATCCCATTCAAGCTTTACACTTTCATTTGGTATAAGAAAATATTAGATTTTTGCAACAATTTCGATCACTTTTTCCATCATTTCTTACAACATTTTAGAACACTTTATGGAACATTGCGATATCATGCCGAAAGAATTTATATTGGTTTGCAAACGATCCATCCACCGACCCATTTCCGCACTTCTTCAACTTTGCGTACCCGTGTGCCGGCCAAACCATGCTGCACCGTTCTGCACAAATCGCATGTGGCATCGAATTCAATCGTGACATGCACTGGCCTCTCCCATTTCTTAGTCATTTTTGCCTCTAGAAGTCGCTGGTTAAAATTCTTGCAAACATCTGATGCAATTTTTTTCCGTTTTGTTTTTTTTGAAGAAATATTAATAACTGCAGACTATTTACATATTCAAGATAAGGTCGGAGTACGAGGTTCAAAATCAAAATATTTCACTTTTAGTTAAAAAGTCTGGAATATTCGGACATTAGATAGGCAGGCAGGCGGGCATGTTGAAAAGATCTTCTAAATGAATTGAATGAATGAATGTTACGGAAATGAATGTGAAAAAGGACAGAACGACAAAAGAAGGTCCTTAAAAAGAAATAAAACTTAATTTTTATTATTTTACGATAAAATTTGATCGAGACAAGTGGTCTTACACATTAACGGCCCGCGTTAAGTGAAGGCCATTGGCTTTTTCATTTTACATAGGCACGATGGATTGTGTTTTGGTATTTTATTGCGAAGGCAGATGAAAAATATAGCTTTTTCTGGTTAAATTATTTTTAGTTTATTTAAATTTATGCTTCATTTCTATGAATTTTGTATTTAAGGGAAAACCATATGTTTGTAGATAAAAATGAATCATTTAATGTTTTTGTGAATGCGAGCAATTTTAAGTGAACTAATTTGATGAAATTACTGAAATTACCCGCAGTGCTAATGCATCGTCAGGCTAAAATAATAATGTTCTTATTCTCATAGATTAATTCAAAGAATTTTATATTTCATAATCATATATAAATAAAATTTAAATATTCTTTATGCAATTTAAATTTACATAGATTCCACATATATTGTAGTGTGCGTGCGTATCCGTACTAGTACTCTATTGTACATGTACTCGTATATAAATTTCATTAATGCATTCGTTCATCAGGTTATCAAATGGTATTTGTAAGGGCAATAGATAAATTCTCTCTCGAACTATATGATGATTTACTGGTGTTACGATGCCGTACAGATAATAATTGCTAATATATTTGCTGTTGTGCTTCGTAGAAATGCCGGTAAGGAAGAAGCCACTTATCAGAAATTGTTTTAACTATCGCATCACTTTAACAGTAAACAATGTAAATAACGAACGTATTCTATCTTTGTCTTTCATTCATTAAGGAAAAACCTTATCTCTCTTATCCGCTTAAACTGTGAAATAATTAATTCTTCATTAACACTAAATCTGCCAGGAGGGATTAAATAAGATCCCTTTTTAAATTTTCACGCAGCATTTCCTATAAATGAATTTATTTTAAAATTGCTATCTTCATCGAAACACTACTTACGTATTATAGCACAACATATTGTTTGTGAGTAGATTTAATTACTATGTCTATAGCCTCGGAAAAATTGTCTTTTCAACGATTGTGTTTCATTCCTAAGGGGAATACATTCTAAATGAAAACGCAATTTTTCAATATTTACTTTAGTCTTCTTCTTTATTATTTTATCGACAACTTTATGCACATTTGTCGCGACTACATTTTCTAAGAATTTTATTATATCTGAGTTGCCGTCATAAAAAAAAAAAAAAAATAGAAATTTAACTTTCAATTCTTGCAAGGGCTGCTTTCCATGATAACCCCAATATATGTTGAGATCTAGAAAATAGGCCGTAAAACATTAACGATTAGGCCTTTTTTTTAATGTTGTGCTTAGTAAGTGCTTAGTCTTTATATGCGGTGGTATTCAAAAAACAGATCTACGTGGTCCAAAGTCACTAAGTTTGATTTTTATGTCGGTTTACTATTGTCAACTAATTTCCATTGCGAATTATTGAAAATTATATCTCTTTATCATAATAGAGATTCAGCTCTTATAGGAACGATTATAGGAGGGAGGAGGTTCAAAAAATGTCCCCAGTCGAACCAAATTTTTTACATTAATTTCGAATGTCAGAATATTATTACGCAGTGACTTTTGTCGAGAAAATTGAGTTGTGTTGAAAATTTGCAATTTCTTGTGGGGAATGATCGATAAAATGGACCGATATGGATCATTTTCAATAGCGTTCGTCCTTAGGTCAAGTTTTATCAAAATATGACAAATATTAACATATAAAATAAGATGAACAGATATCAGATGGACAGATGGACAGATGGACAGACAAGCTTAAAATCATTTTCTGAATCGGTCGATATAATGAAAGATGGCACCCGTCTAAATTCCTTCTCGATATTATAATCGTCGAGCAACTTACAACAACTTACAGAACGTAATATTTCCTAACATATATATGATAATGTAATGTAATCTAAACATAGTTCAAATATTATAGAATTGAAATGGTTTCTCATTTAATATTTTGCTACTATGCTCCATTATTGTATTAATATTTTTCGTTTTTTAATAACAATGGAATCGAAATTTATGCAGAATAAAAATCTAAATTTCTATCTAACAAAAGAACACAAAAAGCCTTTTACATTTTAAATTAAATATTAAAAGCATTAATATCTGTAACATTTCTGTTTTTGTCAGAATTACGGGATGAAATTTTAATCGCTTAGCCATGGAAGTATGGAAAGTAGTAGCAATTTTGAGCGTGAGTAAGTTTGAATGGCAACATAAATCGCCATTAGCCACTTGCTGTTCTATTGCACAATTATACGTTAAATAAAAAGTTAAAATATATATTGCAATTGTAAACAATTGTTTTTATATCCTATTGCTATTCCTACTACTACTACTACTACTACTACTACTACTACTACTACTACACTAGTACTATTACTACTTGGAGTATTATGATTATTGTTATAATTTATTTAGACCAAAGAAACAAATTTTAGGATTAAAAAGTAGGATGACTACTATTAACCAAAGGCAATAGTAGGATAGATTACAAGTTTTTGGCGGATGTGCGCACTGCTCAGAAGGACTTGAAATCGATTCCATCGTTTATTACACTTATCGGTTCAGAGACACTTACTTTCGAAATCGATTTAAACAGACTTGTCCGTCTTATTTGTTACTCGATTGATGTGTATCGACGTGTATTTGTATCCAAGTTAAGCAAATTGAAAACTTTCAAGATATTTAGTATTTAGCGTCGAGAGTTTTCTATTAATAAATTCCTTTTCTTCCATTGCGATATTTTGTTTCTTTTCGCTAAAACCCATGAATATTAGTATCTGTGACATAAGAATCGAACGCGAAAAATGTTAGCTTAAAAGGGACCATATTTTCTACCTCCTCTCTACTACTAATAGTTTGGTCAGGCCGCTCCACGCTATCCATGCTATTTCGATAGAATGAATCGTTTTCACTTTAATATGTAATGTGGCGCGTGCCAAATTTATAATCCCTTAATAAATTTATAATAATTTCGTATTTCTCATGAAATGTATTTTCATTTCTATGTCGATCACTGAAAGTAGAGTAAATAAGATAAAACTAATTACAAATCGATGCTCTTATGATGTTTAACATATAAAATGAATAAAAGAAATGATATTTTTTCTCGTTTCGTTTTGTACATTTTTAAAAGAATTATTTATGATAACTAAGATACATCCTCGTATATATATATATATATATATACGTATATATATATAAGCGTGTAGATTGCTTTTTCGTGTTTGACTATTATCCAGCATCGACGTTCTGCTCTTAAATTAAAATTTCTGTTATGATAAATAAATATTATTTTTATTTATTTAAATGCTGACTGAAATAATTTCTTTTTATTATTATTAAACTCGACTACTTTATGACGTTGAGAAATTCATGGATACATATACATATATATATGCATATAAATACTTATATCCTTGAGGGTATGTTGGTGTACTAATAAAATTAACATTTGCGCAAATATATTTGAGTGCATGTTATGCAAATACGATTAAAACGAATGGAAAAAAATAACGAACGACAGAAAAGTAGCAATCATATATATGCTATATATGTGAAGGTAAAAAAACAACAACACAAACATCAAAGGAAATTCACTCGGATTGTATCGAATAGTACGACCGACTACCGACTACCGACTGCCGACTGCCGACTACTTTTTCAATTTTGTTTTCTTAGCAAAAATACTTCTTTCAAAAATTTTGAAAAGCACACTACGTTAAGAATATCTGACAGCACTATCGTTATGCGAAGAAGAAGCATACATTTATTCGTCTATTATTATATTTACAAAAGCCGTTCTTTTAAGGAAAAAAAAAAAAAAAAAAAAAAAAAGAATTACTTCCTATCCGCGCCATATTTTTTTTCTTCTTTGAATTATTTGCTCAAAGAAATGTCCTAATTCTCACTGCATTTTGATTAACATTTTCAAAAAAAATTCTTGTTTCCTTTGATCTACGTAATCTATAACTGCTAAGCAAACGGAAAATATATTTGGTGGGAGAGATTTTGAGAAATTCATTTTGTTTTTTAAAAATTCGAAAAAAGAAATATTGCTTGATGCGATATAAATATATTTACACTTTCTCGCTTTCCTTTTTGTATTAAATTTAGAGAAATGACCTCATTTTTGGTGAACAAAAGGTGCTTTTAAGATTTCATAAATTCAATGTGCTTCGTATAGAAAACTTCTTTTGCAGTTCAATATGTAAAAAAAAGGACACGAACTAAAATACAAAAAAAAAAAAAAAATTTATTTAATGCTTGAATTAAAAGTTACTGAATTATTGCGGCAACAACTGCGGTCATAGCTTATGAGGGTGAAACAAGTGGTGGAAACTGTTTTTAAATAAATAATGCGCGTTGACACTTGTATGGGTTTATGAGCACAACAACGTAACGCAGCGCAACACAACAAATGCAAAAACCCAAATAGAATAATGTCAAGTGCACTCATAAGTATAGTCGGTTATTTTATTTCCTTGGTTTATTTCGCTCTTGGTGATTTATGTATATCCGTATACACGTATAAATTTATACACTCAAAAACACAATTATACATATAAATATTTATATTATATATATATATGTACTATAATATATTTTTCTTACGTTCTTGGGGTGTAACCATCCTGGGACAGCTTTCAAGTTAGGATGGATGGATGGATGGATGGATGGATGGATGGACCACCACTCTTCCCCATCTGCCTTTAATCCGGAGTATGTTATTGAAAAAACTGGAGCATTTCTTTAGTCTCAACTTTCTCTAACTCTCAGCGTGATTGTTAGTAATTTAAGCGGCATAATTTGCACTGAATTACTCAACATTTATCTTCAAGATGCCCAATTAGGACAGAGGGAAACTGAGCATTCACACATGTGTGGTCTACACGTTGCGTGAATTGGCATAAATAATTTGTGAGGTTTCCATGCTTACATAAATCTAAAGTTAAAAAACAGATTTAGATCTCCGTGTCCTCCGCTCAGTTACTATTCATCCTTTACGCTTAGGATGTAGACCTGCGTTCTTTTTGAACCATTTTAATATCGTTGTTATCATTCGGTTAAGAAATTCTGCCAGGGGAATAGCTTTTAACCTGGGGATATCGTTGTTGTCCTCTTCGCTTATTCTTCTTTAGCTTCCCTACACTTTCAGTACGATAGATAACATTGTCTGCCACGATTGCCGCAATTGACTTCGAAACTGTACAGATAGATACTCAGGATGTCAAGCCTTTGAACTGCTTTGAACTCAACTCACGAGGATAATATGTAGTTAGCAATGCCTTCTGCTCTCACGTTAGTGCAGCATTGATCTTATGAGCGTAGATAACGCTGCATATATAATCGCGCCTGCTTTGTCCCTCGGCCCCTTCATGTTTTGCTGTAATTACGCACATGATGGTCGCCGTTGAAAACACTTTATTCGTAATCTTATTTATATATATTCTACTAAACTCAAAATGCTTTGCGTACCGATTTCTATTCTCGGCTGTTGGAGCAATGTTCTGTCTTTTATCAGTTTTGTTTCACTTTTTTGGACGTTAGTTACTTATTCAATTTAGGTTAGGTTGCTGTCCTATTAGTCATTAGTCTAAGCGATTAATTTCTCTCATATTGCAAGTTCCGCATTGTTGGATCAATTGTATCAATATCTCCACTTTTGTGTCGAATGTATGCAAACAGTACTCTCTCTCCTTTCGTCTCTCAATACCCTAAGTAGATGGTCATAGACAAAAAAAAATTACTAATTATATCTTAGTGAAGACGAGCACAATTGTGAGCATTGCGTACTATTTATCAAAAATAAAAATATAGGCTGGCCGTAAGATGGTCTTTAATTTTGCGCCGATAAAAGATTATGAATGCATAGTTATTTTTTTATTTAAATTTTGAAATTGAGTTAGACGAGAATCTAACTGCCGTTCAAAGGCCATAATTTAAAAGGTTATAATCAGCTTGTATTTTCCATTCTTTTTCTTATCTTTGTAATTATAGTTGGTGATTGTGAACTACAAGCGCTTACTCTTAGTTGAATAGGTGCTCGGGATGCTTAATATTAATTATGATTGTTTGAAGCTCAACTTAATATAACTCGACTTTTCTTTCAATTTAATGGTTTCAATTTACAGGTTTCCTGGATACGTCATCGTGATATACACATATTAACTGTTGGTTCTTATACATACACTTCCGATCAACGCTTCCAGGCTACACATCATCCAGATTCTGATGACTGGACGTTACAAATTAAATGGGCTCAAAAACGTGACGCTGGAATGTACGAGTGTCAAATATCTACTCAGCCAGTGCGGAGCTATTTTGTGCGACTCAACGTTGTGGGTATGTAAATTAATATAAATTCTTTCAGTTTAGCTTAAATCTTTCGCTTATACGATTAGAAAAAGAGTTTCGTTTACTTTAACTTTTTAGTCAGTTACTTAGTCGTTGATTCCACCTTTGTGTAACACATTTCGGTGGTGAGAAAAAAACAACGAAAATGAAATAAAAACGATGTGTGTATGCACACGTCTAACTACGTTTCTATTCCCAAAATTAAGGTCTTTCAGCAACAAAAAGCAGCAAAATTTAACACATACATATGTGTGTTCAAAAGTTCAATTTGTTCAGATATTACTGGCTATCGCAATAAGAAAATCCTTTACATGCTTATAAATTGTCCTCATGTATGCGAATTTATGCAGTTTAATCTCTCGAGGTATTTACTTTGTTAACAAATGTGCATTCAGACACGTGCTTCATTTTACTTCTTTACACTCGCGTACGTATAAGTAAAATGTATCTGTATTTTCATAACAAACTTATTCATATGTGGAGCGCAGCATGTGCTATTTTTATATCACTTACGCCTTCCCCCCTAAAACCAAACAATGTTAAACTAAAAAATGCCGTAAGAAGTTTGTCACTTCATGTTTATCCTATGGCTGAAAAATACAAAACCACAGTTAAGCGCTGCATCGTCAACTGACGTCTGCATCTGTCGAAGATTTGTTAGTACAATTCAAAAGTCGATAGATATATGGATTACTAATATACGGGGTGTGTACGTCATTCGAGGACAAGTTGATATTAAAGCTAATGTGTTTATTTTAGTTGAATGGAAATTTTCAAGCGTCTCTCGTTGACCCATTAAAATAATCACTGCAAGTGGCAATAACGAACTCAATCTGGGGCCGGAAGCAAGGGATTGCTCGACTTAAAACATCTTTGTTTAGGTTTAGCAAGATTATTATTGTTGTTTTCGTTGTTGTTGTTGTTGATGCTGTTGGTGTTATAGAATACTTCTGACGAAAGGCCGTTATGGGAATATACGTTGCTTACTCAGTCCACTAAGCCATGTACGTAAAGCGAGCGTTCGTTTATGGCGATTTGATTATAAAAATTTTCGCCCATTTTTGTTTCTCTATTTGCAAACCACCAAGTGAGTGTGACCTATACGAGTGGGCACGATGACGTTCGGGCGAAGGATTGGATAAAAGGTAAAAAGAAAAAGGCATTAGTATCTGCGTACGTTCAAGTTGAAAGTGGAAACATCCGGAACGGTGGGAAAGATCACTGCAAATAGGTTGCCAGGCGACAAGTTGTTTTAGTGTGTTGTAAGTACGCTTAGTAGTCCTGTTCAAACATTTGATTTTATCCTGGTTTTGATCTCTATATTTATCTTTATCTATCTATCTATCTATATTTACCTTTATCTATCCGATAGAGGCATACGTGAAAACAACGCAGTCCACACTACTCAAAAGAATTGAGAATATTTGATACACTATCGCGCTTGTATGCGGCCGAGAGTCTTCAGGAAAGATCTAAGGGCTCTCCCTCACACATTCGAAGTGTACTCTAATTTTAGCTGAATACAGGCATTTTAAATTCTGTCGATATCGCCTGCAGTGAAGTATTTTGTGTATCGCTTCAAAAACGTAGGCCTTTGTTTGCATCTTTCGCCATTTCGAATATATTTTCTTTTGTCTTGTGTGAGTTGTCTTGTTGTGATCTCGTCCCTATAAGCTTAAGAGTAGTCGATTCTTCCACACTGACACCGCCATCACTTCTCTTGTGCGCTACGAAGCAGCATAGCGACCTCAATCAGATATTTTTGTCAGATTTCTATTAAGTGCGTCTTTCATTAGGCAGCATTTATTCTTTAGTTTTGGATTTTGCATGGTTTCTCGCTAAAAGCGAACAGGGGACACCAGATATTTTCACCTGCAAATGAGCAAACAGGGTTTTAGCTCAGGCTCGGGAAGGTCTTGATGAAGATTAGGAAGCAAGCTAAAGAACGGAGAAAAAAATTGTAGTACTCCTGCACTCACGTACAATTTGCTTGAAGTAAACCCATCGACTACAACCCTTATCGAACGTTCAATTAGCAGACTCGCAATCAGCTTGGAGACAAGAGGAACTGTCGAATGCCTTAGGGGTATTCTGCGCAGAAACCTTCCTTTGGTCAAAATGGGATATAATTCGAGTCCAATTTCCAGAGAGAAACGTCATTAGGTCCTTAGCGGATTAATTTTTGCGATGCCTATATTGCCTATCGCTGAGTTGATCGTTACATTTTATATATTTCGTCCGGTGATAGAAAGTTGACGACAGTCTCCATTGTTCTGACCAAAGCGGACTCGGCAATAATAGGCAGAATTAGATTCTACACTCTTCTTGGGTGCTGGTTGGACATTTGCCAAAGAGGATGCACAATGGTCTAGACACTGCGTTGTAGTGCTGCATAAGCGGTCCCTAACTAGACTATCAGACCAGAGCTCTACAAGTATCTTGTCACTCATAGAACCTCTGTAGCGGCATAAAATCTCGTCATTCTCTAGGTTGGTCTCTTGGTCTTAATCTGGCACATCTCCCTCGTCAGAAAAACTTCAATTTTTTGAAGTCCTGCGCAATGGTCCTCATGGGCTTAAACGGTCTCTCAAACTTATTGGACAAATTGTATATTTCTCAGCCATATCCGCAGATTTCTAATGGCGTTTGCGTTTCGGAACTGGTTCTACATCGCCAATTGAGGCTTGCTTGTTGGACCCAATTTAGGCAACCCCAACTTATAAACAAGTGCTTTTCGTCTGTAAAGTAGTTTTATGTCCTTTTATTTGTGAATGAATGAATGGTTTTGTCATATATCTCCATTTGAAAAGGAGAGAAAAAAAAAAAAAAAACCAGCAAAGCAGGATTGTAGTTAGTGAATGAATTGCAGTTACATACATACAAAAGAGTTCTTAGATCCCCTTGTAACATGCAAAAATGTTCGACTAAATCCGTATTTTATTCTTACAATTTTTTTTTTGATATTTTATTGCAAAATTTTATATACTATCTCTTACATTCATATCTTTTTCGTTTTTTTATATTATGTTTGCATTGACTGCGTTACGTTATGGCATGCTGTGCTGCATCGTGCTGCGACTTTTCTATGGCGTGTATGTACTCGTGCGTCTGCATGTTGCCTCTACCTATAATTGCCATTTACAACGACGATGGGTATGTATGTCAACAGTGCCAACGGCCACTATCCTTGGCGGACCTGACCTTCATGTAGACAAAAGCAGTACAATAAATCTAACTTGTACAGTCAAATTTAGCCCGGAACCACCGGCATACATATTCTGGTATCATCACGAGGAGGTAATTAAAATTTAGTGCAAACATTTCGTCGTTTTCGCTTTTATATCCATCATCGAAATATGATGGAAGTATGATAAATTTATCTTTCAATTTGTTACACATATATACATATACGAAATTCGAAAATTCTACAAATTATAAGTTTTCTTTATCAAGACAAGATACTAAATCGAGTCGACTAATCTTATCGGCTTGCTCGTCTGTCCGTTTGTCTCTTTCTTTATTGTTGAAATGGCAAAATATTGTCAGTTAGTTGACGATAGATCAAGTTTGAAAGTGGGTTTTGTCCGCACGCAAAGCAAGAAAGATTGGAATATTCCTTATGGGGCTTTATAAATCTGTCTTTTTCAATTTTTTTTTTTTTTTTTTTTATATATTGACATCAGGTGTTGAGTGGTAAAGATTCGTCTTACGGCGAATATAAGCGTATTACTTGTTTGATTTTATTTTAAAAATGTACGCACACACACTCTCTCTCTCTCTCTCTCTCTCTCTCTCTTTTTTTTGGTATAAAGTAAATTAAATTTGAGAACTTGCACCACAATATTGAAATTATTTAAACGACACAAAATGAAGTTGTTTTGCTTGATATGATGAAAAGCATATGAAAGGAGAACGAAATTGAAAAATGTGTCATATTTGTCAAGCATTTTCATAAATATCTCTTTTTCTTCATTTCATCATTTTCAATCACGGCGAAATCAAAGTTGACATTTTTGTTTCATTCTTGTCGTTTACGTTCAAGACGTTTACTTTATACTGAGTATAAATGCGATGAAAGAGAGCAAATTAAGATTTGCTTTAGTTTTAAACTATTTGAACAATTTTTGAATAAATAACGATGGGTAAGCACACACACACACACACACACACACACGTAACACGTGTAATATGCATGCAAGAATAGCTGGTGTTAATTCAAGGAAAATCTTGAAAACCTCATCCTTAATAATCTTAACCAAATATGTATTTAATCAATTTGAATTTAATGTTAAAAAAACTCTTAGGTCCAACGCTGCACACGCGACAATCAAAGGCAATGATTCCAAGTCATATTCCATATAAATTGGTCTTCTTTTTAAACTAATTCACAACAGAAACATAAACATGCTGTCGAGCCTTCGGTTTATATGCCATCTGTCCGCATTACATATACTAATGTAATATCATAGTCTCGCTAATCTGGATGTCTCGCGAACGATCGTTCACAACTGCAACGAATTTTTTGTTCTCCATTCGCCTAATCTCGCGCTTAGGCAACGTTGGTCATAGATTGATTCCATTTTCTTATTTTCTTTCGAACATCTCAAGTGCCAGTGGTTTTCAAACATCGGCAAGGGGCTTTCAGTAAGTTAAATTGTTTTATCAAATGAAAATTAGTAAATTTTCTTGATATTCAAAATATGTTAAACTAAATTATTACATATATAGAATTGTAATAAAGACAGAAGAATAAATACAGACATGAGTTCAATTGATAATGTTATGGGACTAATTTAAATTTTAAATGAAAACATCGAATTGAAGAGACTTACTTTACCAGGTGAAGGACGCGTATAAAATGATGGGGATTATGCAGAAATAAAGAAATGTCAGAATTTGTTATCATTGCTTAGATATGTCAAAGAAAGTGAAATTAATTTCTTAACAAAGTCCACTTCAAAAGGCTGTGCAAGAATATAAGCGTCTATTGTCGCACAGAACTTCTTGACAGTGCGAGACACATTTTCTTATTTTTTATGAAAATCCATTTCAAGAAGAAGAGAAAGAGAATGATTAGGTAGAAAACATGCCGAGTTAATGCGTTCACTCGACTTGCCTTAAAGAAAGCAACGACCAACCTGCCCAACAAAGCTATTAACACATACATTTCTACATCATCGGATTTTCATTCCTTTTAAAATGAAAGAAAAAAAAAAAAAAATATGTCTCTATTTGTGCGGAAGCCACTACCCCAACTATCTACTTTCTCGTGAATATTTAAAATCTTTTATGAATATTCACCGAAATTTAATGTTTTTTTTTTTTTTTTATTCTTTTCTGTTTGCTGCTAAACGTTTACCTGTCTATGTCTGTCTATCCATGTCTTATTATCTAAAGGCAAGAATTAGTTGTATTGTAAGACAATGTAAAAGCACTGCATGTAACTTTCTCATCGAATCGAAAAATACATAAGGAAATGTAATTGAGATTGTTTTAATTGCCTTTCGTTCGGCTTCTCACAATATCAACTCCATGTTGGGTTCGTGTTGCGTATACGGTTGCCACCTTCTTGATTTTATATTAAATTCATTCACTCCTTTCATATGCTTTTTTATTTTGCTCTCTATGTACTTGTTATGTACACTCTTGCTTAAGTTCTTATAGGCTAAGCCTTGTACGTAGTGACTAAAATATGTTATGTTATAATTTTAGCGTATTCAACTCATCATCATTCAGCATTCATATTCCTGTCTGCTTTTTTGCAAATGGAAATGTTTGTCAATGAATTTGATAGATGTAGAATTTACAAAAAAAAAATTTCTGTTCTTACACTTGCCGCTAAGCACACTGGAGTCAGTGCTTTATGCGTCTTTATATGCATATAAGAGAGAAATGAGCGCATTGACATGCGGACATAAACATAAAAAATTTTGAATTTGTTTGTCTGAAAACAGATAAAATCTTTTCTTGTTCCGCTTCTTTAACTAACTGAAAATAGGTGACACATAAAATGCCATGTTTGTTTGACTTTACGTATCGTCTCAGACCAGAATGAGGAATAAATAATCATTTTAAATGAGTAGTAAATTTAGTAAAGTCACATATTTCCTTTGAAGTTGTTTTTAATCCTTTAATTATGTGTTTTGGGATTCGATTGCCTCTCTTCTCGCCCTATGAAAATAGGTTGCTTCTGTTGTCTCTACTATCTCTTGAGAAACGTAGATTTATTCTTGGCGTTTCCTTCATAATCAAAGTAATAAATGCTACTTTTGATTGGTCTGCACTGCTTTATGGGATAAGGGCTTTAATGGCCCTAACCGCTTCTCTAGTCAATATATCTTGATTAAGCTTAGTCAATGTAAATATAATTATGAGCTGTTTAACCAGGTTAGAGTTGTTTGCAAGAACCTAAATGTCATCTACCACTTATTCTCATTATCGGGCTCTTTAAAGTCTTAAGTCCATTAAAACAGCATTGCTTAATACGCGCGATTTACCTATGTCGCACTTAAGCTAACTTTTAACCTTAACCAACGTCATTACGATTCGAAAATTTATTGCCGTTAACTGCTATCGGTTACTAAGCTTTTGCATGGCGAAGCGATGGCTTAGGGGTTCATTTACAATTTGGTCCTATACTGGTTGCAGGTGTGTGGCTCTATGCTAGTTGTGCATATGCTTTTTTTTCTTTCTTTTTTTTCTGCTTTTCTTTTTTCTCTTTCTTATTTGTTTTATTATACTTTCATTAGGTTTTCATATTAATTAATATAAGATTTACTTTAAGAGTCAATTGAACTCGATTGTCAATTTGTTTTAGTTGAGTTTCACGTACAAGTAAATAAAGTAAATAAAAAAAATTAAATAAATTATCCTGTGAAAGCTTTTCCTCGTTTTCTAAAGATTTGTTTATGATTTTTTAAAATTTTAGAAATTGCTCGCTTTAATACGATTGGCATATGGCTATACTTAGAGCATATTCTAAAAACTGACTATGACTTACGCAGCCTTCACTATTTGCACCTTTTACTGTCAAACGTTGAGTAAGTGACCTCTATTCGAGTAAAAGTATGGTCTACCAAGGTCGAAACCGAACCTGCATAACTCGCTTGAGAGCTAAGCATTCTATAAGCATTTCAACTATAAAAGAGCTTAATATTTAAATTTGAAATAAATTCTTTACCTCTCTTTGTCTTTCTTTGTTTTGTTACAATAAGTTGTGAAAAATCAATGCACAGTTTGGATAGCCATTGGGGCCTAATAAAAATTTGTCTCAACTTTTTGAGGTAAAAGTGCTTACAAAAGCTCTACGCTCACCTATTTATTACTTTCAATGGGTCGAATTTTATGCTGAAAGACCCATAAACAGGTAAAGGTTTTTTTTTGTTTTTGTATTATCACTGATCTTATGTCAGGTATGGCACTTGGTCATTGCTATAGTGAGTGAGCATAACAATTACCGATTGGGCACACCTCCACAAGCCATCTGCGGCCACTTATTAAGTGTTTCTCTACTTTTTTCTAGCCCTCATCGTCTTGCATGCATGGGCGAACATCCTTCATGTAAGACAACAAAACAAGCGAAAAAGAATTGCATTTATGGCAGTTCGCAAGTGGACCCGTACAATTTGAATGCCATACATTCTACAAAATGAACAAGTAGATAGTACGTCTGTCCGATTGGTTTTTATTGGAATCGGAACTTTTGAAATCCGAAATTTGTCCGCTGCGGAAGGATCAAAGAAACTGGTCGTATCATATGTTAATTTGCATCACATTTTTACCTCCGCGTTTATAAGCTATAGCTGACAAAAGAACTGAAGTCACACACTATCGCGTACAACGATGCAAGTCCGCTGAATGGGACACTGGAAATGAACGACTTTCTAAACCGAATTATTCTGAACATAAGGTTCATTAAAACGAAAGTGTAGCGCATATAAGCGAGAGCGTTTGTAAAAAAGTCGGCACAAGCATTGGCGGCCATAGAGTTTCGCTATTAACCGTCAAGCTTGTAAACAACAAATAGATACATCATCACTTTTCCTAAAAATATTGCGTTTTTTTTGCTGATATAAAATTAGATCTTTTATTAAAGGATATGAAGAAGAGAGTCTTACCGGCAATAAGAACAGATGGTGTATAAACCATCATAAGGGCTCTCCCGTTCCTATTTTTCTCTCCATCAGTTTAAGCAAGCATATTGGAATATGCCTGATATGATGATGTGACCTCTATAACGACTGAATGATATGGATATTGTTTTATTGGGACCTGGTCGCACAGATAACCTTTCCGTG